ATCGGCAATTTATTTATGTAGCACCCAGTTTGTAAACCATTTGAGGGATTAGGTAGTGTGAAACGCTACGATAGAGTCAAAGTCAATGTTTTGAAATAAAATTGTGCCCGAGGCTATCATTTCCTGACAAAGGGACAGCCACAGTATCCTACCTGTAACCGTGTACTGACTAATATATACCTGTGTATTTACTGGACAGACAATAGACTGGATTAATTGACAGGATTAACTGCCTTAATTCACACAGGTGTTCAAGGTTAGGTACAGAATCCCATGTGACCACAGGTGAATGGTCAGTGGGTGGTCATTGCCCATTTATTCTCAGGTAGATATCATATTGAAAAGAAAAATATGTGTTAGGGGCTGGTCACATTGCCCTAGCAACCTTCTTTAAATCTGCCACTGAAGTAAAGTTGTAACTGTATTATTAAAACTTGAGGTTCCCTCTGAAACTAAATTGATTTGAATTTTTATTAGTAAATCGATAAACTTATTCTATTTTTTTGTACCTGTACCTACAGATGCTTACACCCTATGCCTGCAACCATGAATTTTGTCATCATTTTAACAAGAGGCAATTCGTTACTGTACCACCAGGCCAGCTTTATACCTTGGTGTGGGGAACAAAGTAGACTCAGGGGAGGGGGTTGTGATTGGGAGATGTATTTTGTTATTCACCCATCTGCTACAGATTGAACATGTACCTCTATAACTAAGAAATCAAAATCAGACTAACTCATAGTTTTTTCTTTATTTTTCAATAAAAAGGCAACTGGGATTTAACGAACTTAAAATAGTTACACATCTGTAGCTTGATCTTTTCCTTTAATCTATATAGTGCCATGCCATGATATAAGGTTTTTCTGGCATTTTATCTTTTCTTGACTTGTTTGTGTAAAACAAAGAAGCGAATTACTCTATTGATGCCGTGTTATAGAGAAACTTTTCATAAAAAGTATAAAATTATAGGAAAACTTACCAAATTTACCCATATCACATAACTGATACTGATCCCCCATCCTGACACTACAACATTGATATGACGTGTGAATTGAATTTAACGATGATTAAGTGTACTTTTAATATGTTTTCCTCTAAAATAGTACAGCTACCTGGTATATTTGCATATCTAAAGTGTACAAATTATCTTTGTTAATGTTAAGCAATCAAAAAACAAAAACATATGTGTATCGTTGTTGATTCGATATTATGAAATATTCAGTTGAATGATTCTTTCCTTCCTCTTTCAATTTTCCTATCACAAATGAACCAGTTTCATTATAAACATTTATTAATATATATTTACATTTGGTGTGGCAAAGCCCTTCTATATTACTACTAACGTACTGCCAATAGCAGCTTCATATTATGAGACTATAACTGAAGTTGGTATTTGCACCTCCGAGCGACTAAACAGTGTCACTACCGAACTTGTCGGTACCTTCTGCTTGATCCCGAACACCAGCTGCCTGTCTCAAGTGTCTGTGTGATCAACAAACAATTGTATGCCTGGATTTTTCACAAATTCAACCTTCTCCGGTTGCACGATCAACATCAACAACATGCCGGACTTCAAATATAACTCTGACCTGATTACTGCAGACTTTCGTTGAGTGCGTGCGCCGGATATAGGTCGCAATACAATCGGAAAATGTTTTACGACACTTGATTAGTTACTTACAAAATGTTATTTGTTACTATGTATGAATCGAGAATATGATATATATATATAAATCAAAAACAAATGAATTATTAAAGAAATTTGCGGAGTCATTTCAATTGTGTATGGGAAATAGCGCGTGACGTCAGCTGTTATCTTTGTGCCGTTCTAGATATTGACCTGACATGACGGTAATAAGCGGGAAATTTGAAATTTGGAAAAGACATAAATTATTTTTTGCGAATTCTCATTATGGAAATATAAATATAAGCAATAAACTGCATAGATGGGGCAGACCAACTGGTATAACTGCCACATGTGTCACAGACAAACTTACCAGTTGGTCTGCCACATCTATGCAGTTTATTGCTTAAATGTACCTCAGTCTTTTAAACTTTGGTAAACATCGTAGTGCACTGGAGTTAACATTGTAGTGCACTGGAGTTAACATCGTAGTGCACTGGAGTTAACATCGTAGTGCCCTGGAGTTAACATCGTAGTGCACTGGAGTTAACACTGAAGTGAACTGGAATGCACTTCAATGTTTTGTCAAGTGCATTTCCTTGTTCACTACGTGTGCCCTATATACATGTACCAAGTTAAGTTTGCTCCAAACAACATCTATCTAATTACAATTGTCAATTCATGTTGAATTCTGTATTCTGTGTGTCCATTACCACCACGTCATTCCTCCTCAGGGGTTTGTTCGGTTTCCTGATGGCTATCCTATTGTTGTTGTATCCACGGTTAATCCCTGATCTTAGGTTTCCTGATTTATCAATCATATCGACTCTATATTTCTTTATTTGTTTTCCACGTGAATTTAGATCCGGATATATCTTTGTCCGTCAATGTCAATATCAAAAAGTGACAATGTTGACGGGTCAATGTGAACATTTAAAGCAGACCAACAGGGATAGATTTTAACGAAAAATGAATTTAATGTCTGATATTTCATAATTTTGTTTATTTTGTGAATCTCTTAAAGTTATGTTGTGATATGAATCGTAATCTCCGTGATACATCATGTATTATACCTCTCATGTTATCTACATGTAGACCAGGCTCACATACCTGTTATACCTGTGAGTGTTATTGTGTGTGTGAAGGTAGTGTGTATGCGGTAGCGTGAGTGCAACTCACGTGAGTAGTGTGTCGTGAGTGTTGGTCAAACTGACCAGTGACAAACGGACTGTATGACTTACCACGGACTTTACCCATCACTTCCTACGATCCGCCCTTTATCCCTTTCTGGTATGCCGCCACCAGCCACTCTACGCTGGAACTAGCGATGGTTCAGACGTATTGAGACATCTAAGATTTCTTACTACATGTTAATGTGGAGTGCGGGAAGTGTCTGCGAATACACCGCTCCGGTCGAGAAGCCTGGTAAGTGCATACATGTGTGAAAGGATTGTAATTTCGTTTTCGTTTATAGTCCGTTTCTTAATTGCTGTGCGTAATTGATATTTATTGGTTGTAAGTGTGTGTCTTATATGTTGTAGGTTTTTTACCTGCCTCATAATAAAGTTTTGGAAGAACTCACGTGTTGAAGTCTTGAGATAACCACCCCGGCTTACATACATAACATAACATAATATGCAATGTTTAAATTAAGGAATGTTGTCTCCGTCAATACGTTGGTGAATGTAAGTGATATTAACCGAGGACGCTCCAGGGATGTATTTACCTGGACAAAAGTCCATGATTGATAAATGTTACTAATGATCTTAGTTATATCAATCACATAATCGGCCTGTTATCTAGTGAATTCGCCCGTGTAATAGTTTTACATATGTCACTAGTGTAATATACCCTGGAGCGTTTTCATTGGCTGTGCCAGTCAGAAATTGATTGTGACGTCATAATATGGACAATGACGTGGCGTCATTAATTGTGAATGGCGCAACAAAATGGCTGTCTCCGTTTGATGAAGCCCTCTACATTTTGGCTTTAAAGCCTGTCAAAATGTAAGTTTTCTGAGTGAGGTGATAAAAAGCATCTTAAATTTGTTTTCATTTCATATGAGCTTTTATGAAACTCGTCTCGAAGTTTTAATTTTTGCTCGCCAAGGCTCGAAGATCCTATATGTACTACTAGAAGTGATATAATTTAAAACATGACGTCATTAACGATACACATTAAGTACAATTATGTATTAGTATATACTCTAAAATTTCTCGCAATCACATTGGTCGGATCCTATACACGTGACCAGTCTTAAAACCAGTGATGTAGGCTGGTTATCCGGTGAATATCGAATTTTAAATATAGCCTATATGGAAATTCCCCGGAACTTTTCGTAGCGCATGCTCAGTTGGAACGAAATGCGATCTGTCAGAAGACAACAGAGGATGGCTGCTCGCGAGGCACTTCACCTCCGTTATATCTGTAAATCAAAAAGCCACTTGAAGACAAAGATGCTGTTAACACAATGGTGTCATCCATGCTTATCTATTCCAAAGAATCTTGACGATGCCATCGAAAGCTACGGGGCCGAACTGTTAAATTCAACCCTGGCTAAATTTTACACGAAGGCTCGTTTGAGTAAAAGTTAACTATACAAAATTGTATTGTTGAAGCATATAATAAAACAGTTATGGGCTTTTTATGCTGGTAAATATGTTGTGAGCTAAACCTGAAAAAATGATGTTGCCCGAGTCGAAGCCGTATTACAAAAGTAAGTATATTTTATGTTAGTTCTTGTAAAGATAAAAATCATTAGATACTATTTTTTACTGTGTTACGTAGATCAGAAACATATTATAATATACATTTCGAACTTAATGAACAACTCCTCAAACTTCTATAAAACAATATCTCATTTATTTCCGTTGCATCGCAATATCGTCATCACTCGTAAATATATTTTTACAATACGGATTTAAATAAAACAACACAACCATATGCTCCACAATTCTTTATACATATAGCATAGCATGTTGTATTTATATAACTTATACAATGTTTGATTTAAACATAGAATAAATTAAATATAGCATATTTTCTGCATAAATTACGACAATTGTGACAGCGAAATCAGTCATTGCTAATATAAGTAATTGTTCTCTTCATTTTATATCCACAATGGAAAATAGGAAATATATAATTCTGGGCTAAAAAAATTAAAAAAATAATAGTTCGAGGTTCTTATATACCGCTTAATCACAACCTAGTTCGTAGGACGTCGAATAGCGGTTCACAAATTATTATCCCTGTTTATATAGGGCCTTTGCAACCAGCCAATATCTATCTCAACTTGCTTGGGAGCATACAGCCGGAGCTGCCATTTCGGCGATAACAGCTAGCATTCAACAATTCCAGCACTGCCCAACCACGTACTCATTTACAGCTGAGTAGACTGGAAGTTTTCCATTTTTATTGGCTGTTAATTTGAACAAAATACCTTGTAAACTATTTAATTTCCTTGTGAGAATGTTGTAATAGTCTTAAAAAGAGGAAACAAAAAGAGGAAATCCTGTTATTAACACGAAGGTAAGATGGGAATACCTTTTTCAAGGCTGACTGTTTTCCCCTTTTCCTTCTCTTTGCTTTATTAAGCAGATCCAACTGCTTCGAAGCAATGAACTATTAAAAGTGCCACCAATTTTCTATTTTATTTAGGCTTGTTTTCGGCATGGTTTCATGTTTTTGCACATATAACAAATTTACGCTTCAAAAATACTGTACAAATAAGAAACGATGCTTCAAATCAATAGTTGTATATATAATACATAATTGAATAAACGGTCCTAATTAACATCGCACATCATTCAATACGTCTTCTCCTTTGATAAGACCGATTTTACAAATATTGCAAACAACATTTGGACGAAAGTGGGTTATATATAATGCATTAATTTCTCATGTAAATATGTTCCAGAAAAAGGTTTCAATTTCCGTCTTAAAGTTGTATCATACCGCTCCGTAAGATGTCAGTTCATCAGGCCGGAAATGACCTTTCAAGGAGGAAGTAGTTGCAATGTCATCCTCCATTTTGTAATTGACGATGGTAGATGCTTTTGATTTTGTTTCGTCTGTAACATAGAAACAACGAAATGAAATTATATAACGACTTAATACATATCAAGCGATAAAATATAGGAAGCTAAACAACAGTCATAATTACCCGGTCAATATTTTTGAACGTTGCCTTGGGAAGCCCGATTTCCTGTTAGCGGCGCATAACAGTCAACCAAATTAGCTAGCCTATCTGATTTTCATGTTTGTAATTTTGACTGTTCCCTGTTATTTAACGATAACATTGCGATACAGTCAATCAAACTTAATATGAAAAAGAGTAAGAGTTAAACAGCTTCAGAGGACAATGTTATAGTTAAAAGAAACTGATGATTTAAATAAAGTCAGATAGCTGTCTTTCATTGATCAGGTAACAATACGTTTGTTTTATGCCTGATCAGTCAACAATCGAAATTATTTCCCCGAGTTTTTCGTTTTTTTTGGGGGGCCAAGCAAATTAATTGCTTTGCCATCCCGGGATATAGTTTTGACTATAGAATCATGAGCCAGCCTTACATATATGGACAATTGAAACAAATATAAATTTTCTGTAATTTTTATGAATTCAAAGATTTCAATTTAAGAAAACAACAATGCCAATATTTAACTGGTCCGTCCTGTTGAGGGGTACATGCAATTCTTTGTCGCTGGATATAGGTGTGTTTCACTTCTACTTCTATAAACCAAAACAATTCCAGGTGAAAACCCTGACAGTATGCTTCTTCTTTGTGTGAAATAATTTCTATAGAAGCCAGTACAAAATGTACAAAAATAAATGACTCAGTTCCCAGAACAAAGTACGTTCCAATAACTACACGTGTAGCAATTACTGTGACGAGGCCGCATGCATGTTAATTCGTCTGAAATTTGCATGAAACATGACGTCACTCTTTAGTGACGGATGGACTTCACAGCGATTTCGCAGAGAAAAAACAAGAAATTATAGCTATCTGCGTCTTTTTTTTTCTACACAGATTCTTGGAAAAGATGGAAATAAAATCATTGACACTATATAGTGTTAAGCTGCTCAGCCGTTGAATCTTGGCTCCTGTCAACATTTCATCAGGATAATACGTTGTGCCTGTGAAATGGGGCTAAAGAACCCCAAGCGTGATAGAACGTGACACCAAAAGCGAAACGTCTTAACTTCATTCCAACCGTCGTAATTAACTGCAGAAAAAATCCTCCCGTGTGGCATGTCGTCATTAGGGGCTTACGTTAATACCGTAATCGACTGTCTTTATTCTTAATAATGGTTTTAAAGAATTGCATGGCAGTAATGCGTTAGGAGGGTGATATTGTGTTTCATGAGAACGGCGGGGATGTTTTCAGTCACCTTTTGATTCTGCTCCGAATGTTTTTTTTTTTAAAGCAGAGCTAGTGAGATCATGTTGAATGATTATCTGCAGTTATGATTATTAATAATAATAATAATAATAATTCGAGGTTCTTATATACCGCTTTATCACATATTGTTCATAGGTCGTCTCAAAGCGGTTCACAAATTATTATCCTTGGTCATAGGGCCTGTTGCAACTAGCCTATATCTTTCTCAACTCCCTGGGGAGCATACAGCCGGTGCTGCCATTTCGGCGCTAACAGCTAGCATTCAACAATTCTAGCACTGTCTAACCACGTACTCAACGCAGTGCCCTGACGTGACTCGAACCTGCAACCCTTCGGTCACGAGCCCGGCGTCATACCGCTAGACTACCGTGCCTCCAGTTATGCAGTATGACATGTCTGAATCGATCATAGTACACATTTTGTAACTAGTGCAGTTTCGAGGAAAGAATATGCCTACTTTGTCCGACTACATGATTGTAATGCAATGTAGGCACCTATGCAGAATCGTGGATTTCCTCTCGTGCCTGATTCGAAGAGGACATGAAAAAGACCCAAAATTTATCTGGAGTTCTCATTGTAACACTTGGGATCTTTTTCGTTTATACAGTTATCTCCCCTTCTCTTTTCTATCTACTTTCTGTTTCAGGCGGTCTCTCCTTCACTCATCCTCGATACTCCAGGGGTTACGTCATCCTCGATACTCCAGGGGTTACGTCATCCTCGATACTCCAGGGGTTACGCTCACTTTCGCTCTCTGCAACCCTGGCATATGTCATCGCAAAAATGAAGGCACGAAGATAGCTGTTTGATTGGTCTCAGGTAATAAATACCCTGATCAATCGCTTAACTGATACATGATATTTTAAGATTACAAAGGAGCGACACCCGACGTCAAAGTCTGTCAATATTGACCGTTACGTGACCGCGAGATTCTTTTGATGTACATCAAAGAATCGAACTAGTCTTCTAGTCTCATCAACAAGGTTGGTACACACTGAGCCTTCAATTTTGGTGTGACATATTCCAGGGGTGTAGAGAGCGTAAGTGAGCATAACCCCTACGAGTGTCGAGGATGTGTCTCCCTAGGTACCCGTCCTCATATGACACGAGTTTTTGCGAGGACGTTAACCCTTTCACCACTGTGGACCACAATGGACTCATCCAGATAAAGCTATAGTAGAGTCTACTTAAGTTACCTAGGGATGAAAGGGTTAAACCCCAGACAAACAAACAAACAAACAAATAGTACTTGTAACTTGACAATATCAAATCTAAAACATGCTTTTAATTGTACCGTTCAAATACTTTCAAATTTATTTACATAATTTCAGCAGCTGCTGATCACACCTAAAGCAAATATCGTTGATATTAGGATTAGACAATAACTAACTGTACGCTAGCGTAAAAAAACGCTTCCAATGCGCTTCGTGGGTGGTCGGGTGGCGCAGTTGATAACGCTTACGCCTTTCACCAAGACGAACTGACATTTACCCGATCAGACATATATCTGTGGCGGATGTTCTGACCCGACCACTTTGTATGTTTCCTCCTGCTACGTGTTCTCCGATTTAGGATTATGTGTGTGCTTTCATCCAGGCCAACATGAGTGATATTCCGCCTTTGCGTATTGCAGAGTTATCTTCTCTTGGGAGCAGGTATTGGTTGTTACGTCATTGGTTTGTGTGGGAAAATTACGTCGTTTTGTCAAAATTTGATGACGTCACTCTCACAAACAAGTGACGCAACAATCAATACCTGCTCCCAAGAGAAGATAACTCTGCAATACGAACAGACGGAATACATTATTGTATAAACTTATTTTTTACAAATAATATTAAATAAATAAAGTTAAATGTTGATATATATTCAATGAAAAAATACACTAAATATTGAAGAGTAATTGAAAATTTTGCAAATAAATCAATGATAATAATAATAATAATAAAATGGTCAATATTGAGTTCCACGGAACACTTTATAGCAAAGTAAAGGGGATGGATTACATGCGTATTTAGTTGAAGGTTAAGGTTTGTCTTTCGTTTGATTAAAGTTTCCGGCTGTGTTCTGTAACTGTCCGTGTTTGTTCCGTAATCGACCACCCTAACTAGCCCTTATGTGATTCCGTTTGTCAACTTAATTGGCGTTTGTGGTCGTTTTCCGTTGTGAAGCTGTTATTAGTCTGCTTTCTTTCCGACTTAACTCCTTTTGTCTAAGCTAAATTTTCAGATATAAATTAACATTAGGCCATGTTCGATCGGTTGCGGCTAAAGTACAAAGATCACAGAATATATATTAGAAAGGCGTATAGTGAGGCGTTTTTTCTGACATTAATCGAAATTAAGTGTATCTACTAACCGGAAGTACTGCTAGTTCGTCTGAGGCACCTGACAGGGGACACCTTAGCATTGAGTTTTAACCGGATATCCTTGCATGTCAGGCGGCGATAACCCTGTAAAATACACAAAATATAAAACTTAACTAATATGTATATACAATAAACACCAGGCCATGATATGCTACTGACAAATGGGAATTGAGCTGTATATATTTATGCCAGAACTCGGTAAGTCTGCAAAAAAAGTGTTGAAATCTGATCTCATGGTATATGAAAAAAGTATACAAGAGGCCCAGAGGGCCTGTATCGTTCAGTTTGATATCTAAGCAATCATGGCAAAAATATTTTCCAAATGAGATCCAAGGGAATGGGCCCTACCCGTAAAAGCCTATCCTTGTAGCATATCTGTATTAGATTTCCTTGTCCAGCAATGTTATGTATGTTCCAAGGTATGAATCAGAAACTTGGTCCCTCAGGTTGTGGCCAGACCCCAGGAGCAATTGTAATATCATGACTGTATTCGTCTTTTTATGCCAAATGATTGTATATATATATTTGGGGTGGGGCTCTTTAACCGTTTCGAAGTTATGCCCTAAGGACTATGTTTCCTAGGGTGAGGCAGACCCCGAAGCCATCTTGGAAGCATATATGCATTTTTCTCTTTATACTCTGCAATTGAATACATGCCATAGGGTGGGGATCTCAACTGTTTCCAAGCTGGGACTCAGAAGCTATGTCTCTTTGGGTTTGGCAAGACCCCAGGGTCTATTCTAATATCATGACTGTATTCGTCTCTTGATGCCAAGCATTTGTATATACAGTTTTGGGGTGGGAATCTCAACCGTTTCATGGTTATAACCCAGGGACTATGCCTCCAAGGGTGGGGCTAAATTGCCACCTTTGGTCCTGCTACTCAGACCCCTGGGGGTCAGCCCTACCATTTGTACAATTTTGAATCCCCCACCGTCTAGGAATGCTTCCAGTCAAACTTAGCTGAATTCCAATCAGTGGTTAAGAAGAAGTCATTTGAAGAAATTGTTGACGAACGGACGACGGACGACAGACGACGGACGTCACAGTATGGCATAGGTTCACCTTGGTCCTTCAGACCTGGTGGGCTTATGATAACTACGAAAAGAATCAAGACAGACACTGACTTGGTTATGAAATGGTTTCAGATATGACGCAAAGTAGCAATTCTTTTCGGCGTCATTTTCCATTGTCACATCATTTATCATGGTAATTTTGCCCGATCGGAAACATGAATAATGTATTCCTAAGAGAAATATATGGTTTTCTAAATAAAACATCTAAATGTCATACGAGAGAAAAAAGTCTCCAAACTCGTGATGGTCGATTTTCATGTTTATCTAACTATAAAATTTCAAAATTGTTAAGGAGACTCGATAAACCACATGTCTTCACACAAACCAAAAGGTAACTAAATCGAGTTATCGGTAATTCTTGATAAACGACCATCACTCTTTGGGCAACCTGTAAATAAGTTGCAAAAAAATGGCAGTCAAAATATTGTTCAGCTCACAAGGGCGTACACGTGCATCACTATATTTGTAATAAAATATAATCTTCAACTTAAAACCCAGTTTGAAAGAGAAAACAAATGTTTAAGTATTACAAATAAAGCGACCCATGCCCAAGTTTGCCGATCAAATAATGACTTAATTATAAAACCAGCATATTGTCGATAGTATTAGTTTGTAGAGAGACAAGATTTGTATTGCGCCATTCACGTTAGATTTAAGTTAACTTCTCTACATTTCTTCACTTGTTGTCGTTAACTCCAATCTCAATACAAGTGCACTGAGACACGATGTTTGCCATTATAAGCGCCTAATTGACCACGTTTTGATGGACATATTCAGTGATTTGATAGACGGAATGTTGCCTGTTTACGTAATGTCCAATCTTTCTTTCTCATTCGACTCTCGCGAGATTCTATTGCATGTAGCCGACAAGAGTCCACATGAACAAGACAGGTTGACATACAAGCGTGTAATTGAAGCAGAAGTGATTGAATTTTCTGTAATATTGTAAATGATCATTGGTATACGTAATGGGCAGAGTGTATCATCATGTCAGTGTGGCTAGTTTTCTATCAAATATAACTGACATTCCCGTCGGGAAATTGCGCCGACCGTCCCTCCCCTACGATCATCCGAAGTCGCGCACATTCCAAATTAACTGTTCATTTCGAGAGGTGAAGGTGCCGTGGACGACACTGATATGTGCCAGACGCCAAGTAAAGGGCCTAATTATGGTTACAACGAGATTATTTGTATGCAGTAAAACATTGCAGCAGACGTTTATTATGTCTACGGTTATTTCATGTATAGTCACAGACCTATGGTTTACCAATATACTTCATAATTAAGATGTTATGATTACAAACTTTAAAAATGAAAATGTTCGCGTGTGGACATTTTCGCGTTGGATTTACCGAATTTGTTGTTATATCCCTTATTTTCGTTGAAGTCAGATATGCCTTCCGAAAAAAAGATTGTAATTTCGGTAAATAATTTATTTGTTGTAAGGTTCTAATATTTGTTGATAATGAAATTTGTTTCCAATTTATATTACAGTTTATTTTACTTCAAATAAATATAAAAAAGCATTCAAAACGTTGAACCTTACAGTGGAAATAAAAATGAAAAATAAATCAACATTCACTTCAAAACCAACCATTATGCTACTAGTATGCTTGTATTATTGTATTGCCGTCCTTGTACGACCCATGTTTTTGCGAGGATGTCAAAAAACAACAACTCACGAACGATCACGAACGAACGGATACACGGACGAACGGATACACGAACGAACGGATACACGGGCGAACGAACGGAGAAACAACCCCTGTTGAACTGCGCACACGTCTCTGTAAAACTCTTTTACTAGTAAACCCAGTCATGTAAGAGACCTGAACTAACGTAATTATACAAGAAAACACGGTTCTGAATAAGAAAAGATCGATCACAAAAAAAGGGTTTTAAGGCGCAACATATTCGTTATACAGTGAGACAATCGGATCACAGCGTTCACGTTTTAAGTCTGTGATAAATAAAGAACTAGGTCAACACTTTCTTAGATATCGTATATTCGTCAAACATTGGAGACAAACGTAATGTGTTAGCCCATCGCTGATAGTGTTAATAGTCTACCTATATTAAAATTATTATTTTGTTTTAGGTAAAATAAATAGTCGCACTAATACATGGACACACATGGACTCAACATCTTTGCCACTTTGACCGCTTGTTGTCTTCTCAGCCCCATCCTTCCCTTACACTCAAACCGCTNCTCTCTCTCTCTCTCTCTCTCTCTCTCTCTCTCTCTCTCTCTTACAGAATTTGTATAAAAGTAGGTTGAAGAATGAAAAATGAGTGTGAAAATTAATAATTATTCTGTAATGATGAAAATGTTTCATTTTTTTGTTAGTATACCTAATGTATATACGATGTAAACTACACGCCCAAAGTACAGACGATACCCTAACAACGTGATAAACCTAATAAACCCGTTGCTATATTGTGTATTCAGAACAAGGGATACGGGACTAGCTCGTAGATACATGCACTTAAAGTACATGTGTGTATGTTTAATGATTTGTTTTGAGAGTCACGTAAGGAGGCTTGTTTTGACATAAACTTGATAATTTGACAATTTACAGATTCCATTCACGCAACAATCTGAACATAATGTTTAAAAGGTTTCACAAATTATCACACGTTCTTCAAGTGCCCGTTGACGCATTACTTTAACATGTGAAGTATTGATTATATCAAAATTTCAACACAGGATGACGAAGATCACACCTATGCTAGGATATGGTGTTCGTGTCCTCGAGCGGTCGTTCTGATATAGCATTAACATTTTCGTGGCGTAATGTAGAAAAATAATTTCCACTTTCGTTACGAAAACTGTTACATAACGAGTGCAAACAGCTTACTAAGCAAGGAATCTACTAATGGTTCTTGAACACTTAAAGGATCATCGCAATACAGCCAACAATTAAACGCATTGGAAACATTTCTTGCAGCATGACTATAGCTTTGATAAATCATTGATTAAAAGAAAGAAAAAACCCGAAAAAAAGAAACATATCAATAACAGTATTCTGAGTGTGAAAATGGAACGTGATTCGAACCCTGGGCATCCGAACACTATACTGTTGCTCAAACCAATTGCGCTTCCCGGTCCTAAGCAGTACCATGGTCCCATTTGCGCTAGTAGTATGAAAAGTAGTATTAGTAGTATGACAGTGGCGGTCACTGCTAGTTAAAACAACTACAGTGAAATCCTGCAGTATTTTGATTTTGCATATGTATAACATTTTAAAACGGTGGAATGTCATGGGAAAACACTGAAATTAAAAACTGCTCACGGAGAGTATGCATCTCTTACTAAAGCAAAGAAAAAGCATTTCCCATATTCTACAAGCGAACTCGGCATTGTTGCCAATGATATCATGCAGTGGGACAAAGCAGGCCAATTTATACAGGGAGTGGCGGCATTTAACAGACCGGGCTTCCAACAACTAGGTCTTGAGATGTCATTTGCAGGGGCTACCCAAAACAAGAATGTCATGTGTTTGAGAAAGGTTTAGTAAAATGTTAAACGATAGAGCACGATCAATGAGTTCTCGTGTAGTAAGGTGAGTGTAGCAGTCACTACTTACTTGATTAAAAGGTTAATGATGACTTAAAATAGGGAAAAGTCGTTAACAAGGATATCAAATTTTATATGTTTCGGCAATAGTAAAACAGATTTTTTCATTTGCAACCCAACCCAATGTCTTTTTACAGCGAAATATTTTCGAAGCGACGGAACGACCCCCAGGAAAATTTATAGCGACAGTATTTATGTCAGTGAAATGCTATCAAATAAATCATTGTTTGATCTCAAGGTCCACATCTTTTATGCTATAATTAACATTCGAAACTGCCTGGAAAGTAGCGGAGAGGCGATTAGTGTCATTTTTAAACTTGTGATGACCATTCCATACACGTGCATTAAAGCGGTAAGAAGTATTTTTTCTCGAAGTGTTCAAATACTTGCAGTATTTTTTTTATCTTAATATTTTTTTTATGCGATGAGAA